TGTTCAGGAAAAAAAATGTCGGGCAGAATGAATCTCAATGGAGAGACAGAGCTTATATACCCCGCAGCAGCCGCTATGAGTCATGGTGGGAAAACCCGAGAAGTAGCCGGTGACTAGTTCCGTTGCTAAGATACGGTAACATCTGGTTGGTTGCTAGGGAAGGCGGCACATTGGAATGTGATAGCAGGTGGTGTGCAGCTACGCAGTTAGTTTGTAGAGGAGACGTCCACTACAGTACCAAACTACTGTAATTTATCTTAACTGCTGTAATTTTGTACCTTACTATTATAATTTAGTATATAATTGCTGTAATTTAGTACCTAACACATTATAAAATTAATAGAATATGAATAGGTACATTACCTTAAGTGACCATATTCGTATAAGTGAGAATAACATTCATATATTAAGAAAGATGCGTAAGACTAGAATATTGTATTTATTTAAGTTAGTATTCGTCAAGTGAACACTTGTATAGCGAGGAATACCTGTACAGTATCTGTATTAATCATGTGCACAAATTTGTTGGACCACCCTCTGGTTTCTGGTCCCTCTATGCATACAGCACTATACAGTACTGTACCTGTACATGATAATACTGGTAATTTACTTGATCATACATTTCCTTGATCAATACTGTATAAATTGATGAGTCGTTTTTATTTCCCAGATGGTATGTTCCTCCTAACCTCATTGACTTGTATGATGCCCGTTTACGTCCATGGTATGTTCAAGGTTCTGTTTCACCAAAGGATATGATCATACTTATGGACAGGTAAGATACACTTTATATTTGTTTATATTTACATGGATCATATTTTTTTCTGTACATAAGTCTCAAACTCTACAGTGATGATGTTTTGAGTAAGGTTCATTAGTGTTTAGTATGTAAACCTCTGGGTTTTATTTTATGCAGTAAGGTACTAATTTTATTTTTAGTCAGAAAATACTCCTGTACTGTACTTTTCTTTGTTCCTAGAGGAGGGGGGGGGGGGTAGTTCACGATAAGAGTTTTAGTCATTCAGATTTCTTGTTTGTTGTATCACAGTTGAATCAAAGGCCATTTTTTGTATTTCACCTATTTTCAGGAGTGGGAGTGTACATGGGCAAACATTCACCATAATGAAGTGGGCAGTAAAAACATTAATTGATACACTTGGAGAAAATGACTTCGTCAATGTTGCTGCCGTAAGTAACATTTACCTACGTTTTAGAGTGATTTTTATTTTCAGAACATTATCCCTGGCTTTAGCAACTAATATATGGTCAGCAAATCCATTAATTGAAAATGTGAATATGTGATGGTTCTAAAAAGAGACTTGATGGACAGGCAACTCAGGTTCAGTCCCTTCTTCCAACTGTACTGGGACTGGTGGTGTGAGCTGGAACTGATGTGGTTGGTCATGGAATGGTGGTGTGTAGCTTAACAATGATATTCAAGTACTGTACTGTAGCACACTGGTGTTAGTGTGATAGCAAGACTCGGTTCCTTTTAGCATTTAGTGAATACTGCTAGATCCATCAAGTCTCATTTGTTTGTGTTCTGACGAATATCATCTTCAGATAAATCAGATCTGAAAGTACTCTGGATTACTATTTTCACCTCTGTGTACCGGAAAAAATTCCCCTATCCCCATAATTTTCTGGGTATCAGAAAAATTTTCTCGGAATTTTCCAGAAAATGTGCCCCTCGGTAAATCTTTCCTGAGAAAATTTCAATTCCGGCTATCGGAGAGTTCTGGGTTTGAGGGATTCAAGCTAACGGAGATATTACACAATGTGGAAAATTAAACAAAAGAAAATTATTCTGTGTTATTAAAATTTAATTTGCCAATTACCATATGCACAATAAAGGTGTACTGTAGAGGTGTAAGAGAAAATGTGGAATTTGGAAATGGTTGAAAAATTTTGAAGTGTAGATATTGATGGCATCATATGAGGGAGGGCGAGTGGAGTATCAATTGATTGAGCTAAGATACTGGCTGAGTGGCAAACATTTTTATGTGAACTCTGTATAAACAGTTATATTCATACTGATACATGTAGTACCCTTCCTAAGTAGTCTTTTTTACTTTGCAGTTCAACAGTACAACTGAGTGGGTCAACAACTGCAGCTACTGTGAGGTAATAACTTTATACAGTACATGTATAATATTGTATCATTATGGGAACCAATCCCACAGAAAAACTTATTGACTCAGATTAATGTTATATCTGTTTACTTTACCTGTATTATTGATACTGTACAATAGTTTAAATATAATTTTTATTTCATTAAAAACTGTTATGCCTTCAGATTTTAGTTATCTTCACTTTTTTTAACAGTTGTTGTATCCTAATTCTACCTTCGGCCATTTTGGGATTATTCTAAGAGCTCCCTCCTGATTCAATATAACACAGGCTGGGCAGATTATGTGGAACATTTACTTGTCCCAGGCAAGTTGAATAAACATTTTGAAACATTCAAATTTATTGTATGTATTAACTCATGCATCACTTGTGTCTGTCTAAATGGTGTTGATAGACCATCAGTAACACGTGTATCTCTCGCCAATAAGTCAAGAGTTCAGATTCTGCTAAGCCCAGACACACGTAAGAAGGGTGTTATCCAGTGTGACCCTCACTACCAATCATCACAGGTTTGCCGGAGTCAGGTTTCCTCCTTTACTTATACTAGATAGACCAACCGCCCAAACGGCGTTTAAATAGTTGATAAGCGGTGAAAATTAAAAAAAAATGGTGTCTGTGGCGGTAACACTTGTCATGTGAGGTCATAACTCCTGTCACTTCACATCTACAGCCTCTCAGCTTGGTGGTTCCTTTAAAATGTTGACAACGACTGACTAGGAGCGGGTTGGCAGGTAAATTACCTGCACCTGATATAGGTCACGAATCCTGGTACAGAATACTTGTACTGATGACCTCCCCTGTTAAATATACTCGTATATGGTGAGGTGGGGTCATGCAGCACCTGACAAATTCCTGTCTTGGTACAGTGGTCCCTCGGTTAACAAACACAATTCGTTCCACAGAGTCGTTCGTTAACCAAAAATTTTGTTAACCGAATCCATTGTTTCAATGGGATATTGGGTAATTGGTTCCAGCTCATGGAAAAGTACATGCAAAGTAAAAAAAAATGCAATAAAGTACACTTACTTTGAGGTGTGTATGTAGAAGATTCCTGGTTGATGATGATGATGATGGGAATTAGAAGTGGGGGTGGAGGAGAAGGGAGAAGAGAAGGAAGTGGGGATGGAGGAGAAATCACCTTTCAGGGGACCCATGCTTGATGCAGTAATTTCACCAATAAATTTTTAAGTTCACTAGGTGTAATTCAAGATTATTTTATTTAAATCAACACTGCACTATATATTATCAATATGTTAACTAAATTTCAGAATGACCAATAATTTTAATGTAAAAATGCAAAAATATTCAAGACGCCAACAAAATCGATGTTCACTCCACTGTCAACAAGCCAAACTGACGCCTGGTGGGTGGGTCAAGCGGCTGATGGGCATACAAAAAACTAGTTCCCTGTACTGCATATATTATCAATATGTTAACTAAATTTTAAAATTACTAATAATTTTAATATAAAAAAATGCAAAAATATTAAAGAGCAAAACTTTCTTGATATTTACTCCACTGGAAACGAATGTAAACATAGAACAGATTACTGTATTGGCAGACTAGCCCATCAGCTGATCAGCTGATGCTCACAGCAAAATGTGTTTGTCGTAAGGATTTCGTAAATCGAAGTTTTGTTCGTTAACAGAATTGAAGATCTTTATGGGAGGTAATTCGTTAACCAAAATTTTTTTAATCGAACCGTTCGTTAACCGAGGGACTACTGTATATACCTCTGAAAATATTTGCTTGTCTGCCAGGCAAGTATTGGGCAAGCGGATATGAAAAGTTACTTGTCTGCCCCTTAGCCTGGGCATGGCTGGGCTGCCAGGTACTATTAATCTGCACAGTCTGCTGTAGCATAATCCCATATATCTGTATTTAAGCTTTGAAACCACCATTAGCCTAGAGAGCTTAGATTACTGTACCTCTGTTCCACTGTATTTCTAATACAGTTGTACCGTACTTGATAGTGGCATGGGTGGATGATATTGGAAAAAAATTTGATATGTTTATGAAATATTATTATTAAGATGTTACTGTAAAAAAAAAAATTATTTGCAGGTAAACAACACAACAGACAACCTTGAGTGCACTCAGCCTTTAGTGCAGGCCAGCACCACCAACAAGAAACTCTTATTTCAAGCTATTGATAAGCTGGAAGATGGAGGCATGGCCAGCTATACTAATGCACTCACCTTTGCATATGATGCTTTCAAGCAGGTAAACTGTTAAACAAATAGTATTTTACACACATTGTTATGCATGCTTCAGTTTTTAAGTGAGGTTAATGGGAGTAAGTATAAGAGATCATTGACAGGGTAGAGGGACAAAGTGAGGTGAGGTGTGTGTAAGAGTGCAGTGCCTTGGAAGGAGTACAATATGAGAATATGTGTAAGCTGGTAATACTCGTGAAGCTTTGTGAGGGTATGTACTTTGATCAGGGTATTTGTTGGAGATTCTACATAAGAAGAGTAAAGATCCTACATGGTAAAAACCAAAGTGACAATAATTCAGATTATGTTATTAGAAAACTTTTAGATCCAATAATTAACTATACAGGTACACCACTGATTATCCAGGTACACTACCGATTATCCGGGAACTGGTGGTCCGGCACCTCCTTTAGTTCGGACAAAATTATGAGAGGGCACTTAACTTCCCTCCCTCCCTCCCTGCCTGGGTGAAGGTAGGTTTAGGCTTAAAGTTTTTATCTTATAAAATGTAGATGACTAGACTTAGCAGAATATAAGTTGCAGTGCTGGAATTCTTGTAAGATAGTGATTAATTGGAATATAAACATCACATAGTTTGCACAAGAGATAGAAATTTTAGTCTAGTGTAGTACATTTGTGTACAAGTTTTTTAACTTATATTTTTGGGAAGATAATTGTAACTTTCTTCATTTATATTTACTCATTTACATGCACACACCATCCTAAATATATATTGTGAAAAAGGTAAAAGAAATAATTATCCTGAGGGTAAACTTGTAATAAGTTAATCACTAAAAACTTTGTCTAGTGCAATCTATGTGATGTTTATACTCAAATTAATCACCATCTTAAAAGAATTACAGCAATGCAAATTATACACTGCCAAGTCAATTCAGTGACATTTTATAAGGAAAAAACTAAAACTCATGTTTTGATAACTACGCACTACGTCAACTCCCCCCCCCCCCTTCCCTTCCCCTCCCCTTCCTCACAGCCAGGGTGAAGGCAGTTTAGGCTAAAACTTTTTATCTTATAAAATGTCGCAGACTAGACTTAGCAAAAATATAATTTACATTGGAATCTTTAATATAGTGATCAATTTGAGTATAAACATCATATAGTTTGCACAAGAGATAAAAAATTTTAGTCTAGTGTAACAGGTACATTTGAGTACAAAGTATGTACAGGTTTGTAAATTTCTGTCCTAGTCTTGTGGTCCGGATAATTCCCGTGGTCCGGAATGATTTTAGCTTGTCCATAGGTAGATAGGCAGCTTTTTTTTTTTTTTTTTTTTTTTACTTATCTGAATTATTATTATTATTACAGGAGCATTAAATTTTTGCCCCTCAGGCCCCAATGTAGGTCAGTGACCTATGCCGGGTGGGCTAATCCCCGTAAAAAAAACAACAACAAAGCCGCGGGAAATTAAGGTTTGTTTACATCCGGCAGTTCGGCTGCTCTCTCTCTCTGCTTGTCTATACAGAGGACAACATTTAACCCTTCAATATATATGAGCAGTAAATAAGTGTTGCTTTCATATTCTTATGTAGAGTAATGACGATATGTTTTCACATGTGCGCACTTACATACGCGCAGTCTCACTTTTTTTTTTACCATTAATGGTTAGCTACTTATATTGTTCCATTCATTAACATTAAATAACATTACAGGTACTTCAAACAACCATATTAATTTTTTTATATTAATTTTACTACAGCTACAATCAGGGTTTTATTTTCTTCAGTTTTATATGTAGAACCAATCAGTCACTGGTTTTGTAAGCTTTAACAAAAACAATGCAGGCAGCCATCTCGTCTCGTGTGTTTTAATATTCCACGTATTACAGGTTGTACCTCTCTAGTCCGGCATTCTGTGGTCCGGAAACTCCCGTGGTCCGGAACGATTTTAGTTTGTCCAATAGGTACAGAGGCAGCTTTTTTTTTTTTTTTTTTTGAATTATTATTAATATTACAGGAGTATTAAATTTTTGCCCCTGAGGCCCCAATGTGGGTCAGTGACCTATGCCCGGGTGGGCTAATCCCCTTACAAAAAAAAAAGCCGCGGGAAATTAAGGTTTGTTTACATCCGGCAGTTCGGCTGCTCTCTCTCTCTCTCTCTGCTTGTCTATACAGAGTACAACATTTAACCCTTCAATATATATGAGCAGTAAATAAGTGTTGCTTTCATATTCTTATGTAGAGTAATGACGATATATTTTCACATGTGCGCACTTACATACGACCAGTCTCACTTTTTTTTTTTTACCATTAATGGTTAGCTACTTATATTGTTCCATTTATTAACATTAAATAACATTATAGGTACTTCAAGCAACCATATTCATTTTTTACATTAGTTTTACTACAGCTAAACTCAGGGTCTTATTTTCTTCAGTTTTATATGTAGAACCAATCAGTCACTGGTTTCGTAAGCTTTAACATAAACAATGCCGGCAGCCGTCTCGTCTCCTCTAATATTCCACGTATTATTAATAAATTGTATTGTTAATTTTGCACACACGTACATTAATTCAATAAAAACAAATTCAGAAACATTAATTGAAATATATATGAACAGTAAATAAGTGTTGCTTTCATATTCTTGTGTAAAGTAATGACGATATGTTTTCACGTGTGCGCATGCGCACTTACATATGCGATCTCTCTTTTTCTTTACCATTATCGTTCGCTACTTCTATTGTTCCATTTATTAACATTAAATAACATTACTTAAAACAACCATATTAATTTTACTACAGCTACAACCAAGGTCTTATTTTCTTCAGTTTTATATGTAGAACCAGTCAGTCACTGGTTTTGTAATCAATGAAAACAATGCTGTGTCATTTCCTCATGTGTTTTAATTTTCTACGTATTATTAATAATTTTGTATTGCTCATTTTGCACATATAAACATTAATTCAATAAAAAAGACATTCAGTAATAAACAATAATGAATCTTTTGTACATAAGAGAAATGACGCTGTTTACACGATTATGCATGTCGTCTGCACGTTGGCGGGCCGTTCAAACCCGTCGAAATTCATGTTTCCGCCGTCAAAATTTTTATTTATTTATTTTTTTGTGTGTTCCAATAAAATACGTTAAGAATTAAAAACTCGCGAAATTTGAGAAGCTACTATATACGACATTTAACCCTTCAATATGTCTTCAAAGAGACCATGACGCAGAGAAAGTGGTGCTAGTGCTTCCAGGCATAAGCACAAGTCACTATCTATCCAGGAAAAGGGTGAATTTCCATGGTCCGGCACCGGTCAGGTCCCGAGGTTGCCGGACTAGAGAGGTACAACCTGTATTAATAAATTGTATTGTTAATTTTGCACACACAACATTAATTCAATAAAAACAAATTCAGAAACATTAATTAAAATATATATGAACAGTAAATAAGTGTTGCTTTCATATTCTTATGTAAAGTAATGACGATATGTTTTCACGTGTGCGCATGCGCACTTACATACGCGATCTCTCTTTTTTCTTTACCATTATCGTTAGCTACTTCTATTGTTCCATTTATTAACATTAAATAACATTACTTAAAACAACCATATTAATTTTACTACAGTTACAACCAAGGTCTTATTTTCTTCAGTTTTATATGTAGAACCAGTCAGTCACTGGTTTTGTAATCAACGAAAACAATGCTGTCTCATTTCCTCATGTTTTAATATTCTACGTATTATTAATGAATTGTATTGCTCATTTTGCACACACAAACATTAATTCAATCAAAACGACTTTCAGTAATAAACAATAATGAATCTTTTGCACATAAGAGAAATGACGCTGTTTACAATTGTGCACATCGTCTGAACGTTGGTGGGCCGTTCAAACCCATCGAAATTCAAGTTTCCGCCGTCAAAATTTTTAAATGTGTTGTTTTTTGTGTGTTCTAATAGAAAACGTCGAATTAAAAACTTGCGAAATTTGAGAAGCTACTGTACGACATTTAACCCTTGAATATGTCTTCAAAGAGACCATGAAGCAGAGAAAGTGGTGCTAGTGCTTCCAAGCCACGTCACTATCTCTCCAGGAAAAGGGTGAATTTTCATGGTCCGGCACCGGTCAGGTCCCGAGGTTGCCGGACTAGATAGGTACAACCTGTACAATAATGTTGCTCAATATTATGGCTTTTTCACATAAAATTTACATATAATATTTGTTAAATTAAAGTTTCTAGCAGTCCATGGAGCTTTAGAGGCACAGGAGGTGTATAATTAGTGGGTCAGAGGTGTATTGTTGAAATGTTATTATGTGACCTCGGTTGGTCCGGCAAGATGGATAATCCGGCAAAGCTTTGGAACCAAGGGTACCGGAAAATCGGTGGTGTACCTGTACATGGTTTTGAACCTCATACGAAGCTTTTATATCTGAACATTATCACCTTAGTATCATTAAGCTTACACATCCCTCAGTTTGCCTCCAGAAATTCACAAAGGACTTCATGCAAATTTTAGAAAAAGGAGCACAGATATCATGGTCTCAGAACATAAATGAGTACTGTTACAGTACAGTACTTTACATAGGATTCAAGTCTTTGAGTCATGCTCTCAGTTATATCTTGCAATACACATTAGTTGAAGTTTACTGTTATTGGCTCTCAGTACTATCTATAGAGATGGTCATTAGATAAGAGCTATGGGGATTTTATGTTTACCTATCACTTATGAATGTGCTAAGTACCATACATAATAAGAATAAAAAACTATGTTTGTAAATGTATTTTAAAATTACTTTGAGTTTATTCTGCAGTTTGAAGGTACTCGCAAAGAAGGGGAGGGAGCCAACTGCCACAAAACCATTATGCTTTTCAGCGATGGAGGAACAGAGTGGCCAGAGGAAGTCTTCAAGAAGTAAGTTTTCAGTTGCTGATAAAAGTTTTGACTTATTAACTCGATCTTCATTTAAGTAAGTTGTATAATGAAATAATTTGTTTCTAATGTTAGTGTAATGATTTTTATGATTTTTTTACAGCATTTGATACAGTGTTGGCTGAATTTAATAGCATAAAATGAGGAATCGATAAATACAGGGCTGCCTCACTTATCGCAAACGTTAGGGACATGAAACTCGTTGCGAATATCGAAATTGCGAATAGCGGAGCAATTTTTCCCATAAGAAATAATGTAAATAAGGGGATACGGGCATAGCGGTGGTCACGGCCGCTAGATTTTAACACTTGTTTTACTCAATACACATAGAACATAAAATAGATAAAGAAACAGGGGCATAATATCAAATAAACATCAATAACAAACACTGAGTTTATTAGGCGTATATGTTTACATGTACAGTACAGCTACTCCCCGACTTAAGACCTACTTGACTTACGACCACCCGGACATACGACCGCCTCAGTTGTACCAAACAAGGCTTAAAAGTGAGAGTTTTGTGGTGCTGAGAAGAAAAGAGACACCCATTTTAGATTTTCTATATTATTTAAGCATTTTCGACTTACGACCATTTCAACGTATGACCTGGATTTGGGTCCCGAACCCCGTCGTAAGTTGGGGAACAGCTGTATACTTTACATGTTTGAGTGTGTGAGTGTTTGAATGTTTATGTGCGTAGGTGTGTGAGGTGAGTTTTAAATGTAGATTGTTAATTTTCCTCTGATGTGCTGTGTTGCTTGCTTGCTGAAGTTGGCATTAGGGAGAGGGTGAAGGTTTACTGGGGTGAGAGGAGGCTGGGATCATCAGCCACCTCACTCTCCTCACTGCCAGGGTAGTCAGCCACCTCACTCATTATCGCTGTCAATTTTCACTGAAAGCTGTTGTTCTCCACTGGTTGAAGGGTGTGGTTCACTTGTTGAAGGGTGTGGTTCACTCGTTGAAGGCAGTGGTTCACTCGTTGAAGGCTGAGGTTCACTTGTTGAAGGCTGTGGTTTTACACTGGTCTTGAACAGCTGCCTAAAAGCTGCATTCTGTTTTGGATGTACAGGAGGTGGTTGGGGCACTGGGGGTTGAAGGTTTGGCCGTGATAAATGCATCAAAAGTCATTTGTTGTGCATTCTTCCTCTTCTCCTCAAGCACCTCATAGTATGCTCGTATGTCTTTCTTGACATTGTGGATGATAGTGCAACTTCGGTCAACATTAGGGTCCATTTCTAATGCCATATCCATCGCCATCTCAAATGAAGAAATCGGCTTCTTTAGGTTCCGTATAGTGAGGAGTTGTGTTGGAGTTTCATCTGCATCTTCTCCCGTTGCAAGTGGCATTTCTTCCTGCTGAAGCCTCTCCAGTTCTGTCAGGTCTTCATTGGTAAGTTCTTCATGTGAGAGTCGAGGAGGTCTTCTACGTCAGCATCATCCACTTCATCGAATCCAGCCTTCTTTGCAAGAGTCACAATAGTCTTCCTTATTGCAGGCACTGAAGGGGAACCAACTGAGTTGTGCACACACTCTGGCCACAGCTTATGCCACATGTTCTGTTGTGTTATTGCCTCCCATGAATCACTGATGTTTTTTATGGCTTTCCTTAATGTTGTAGTGTTTTTTCCAAAACTCCCGGATTGTAAGTTTCCCTTCTCCATCAGTCCCCTCAATCAGCTGCTCCATGATGCGCTGAGTGTAGAGCACCTTGAATGTGGAGATGATGCCCTGGTCCATGGGCTGCAACAAAGCCGTGGTGTTGGGAGGCAAAAACACAACTTTTAATGTTTTTTCACCAGTCAATCATAGCTGGTGGATGACCTGGTGCATTGTCGATCACCATCAGAGCTTTATCATCATAATTATTTTCCTTATTATAGCGATTAATGCGACCGGACATATAGTTGAACATGTAGTCGTTCACCTCAGACCCTGTCACCCATGCCTTACGGTTTGAACGCCAGACGACAGGAAGTTGTCCCTTCACAACCCCTCTCAGAACATGGGGTGTTTCAGACCAGTACACAAGGAGAGGCTTTAACTTCAGGTCACCCTCAGCATTTCCACCAATCAATAGAGTGAGGCGGTCCTTGGCAACTTTAAACCCTTGTGCGGTCATTTTCTCCTTAGATATGTAGGTCCGTGAAGGCATTTTCTTCCAGAAGAATCCGGTCTCGTCCAAGTTGAAGACTTGCTTAGGACTGTACCCGCCCTCCTTAATTATGGTTGCGAGAAACGGTGGGAACTTCTCTGCTGGTTCATGGTCGGCGCTAGCTGATTCTCCTTGTATTTTTAGGTTGTGGATTGATCTACGTTTCCTAAATCTATCAAACCATCCACGGCTGGCACTGAACTCAGGTACTTTGGGTTAATCTTTAGTTATATCTTTCCACAGCGATCTTGCCTTCTGTTGAATCATGCATTTCGATAAAGGTGTTTTAAGGCGCTGGGTCTGGCCGTCAATCCACGTGCTCCATACTCTCCATCTCAGCATCACGGAACCTCGTCACCTCCGTAGCTGTCAGTGGTGTTGCAGACACGGCCATCTCCTTGATCTTGTTGGCGCTTTTATCTATAGAATGCACCATAGAGAGAGTCAAGCCGTGCACGCGCCCAATCACTGACGTTCCTTCTCCGTTTTCATGTCTTTTTACGATATCCAATTTCACGTCCAACGTAACTGCCACACGTGATCGCTTAGCGTATGGCGGAGGAATACGTACACATGTACACACGCTGTTCTACGCTACGGTTGAGGCGCCCGGTTCAAAATTTTTGCTCGTAAGAATTTGCAAATAAACGGGGCATTCTGCATTGAACAAAAAACGCTTTTTTTTTTCTTTCTATATCCAGTTCTTGTGATAAAGTCCAGAATGCGACGTCGACATCCCACCCATCTCCACCCCTCGAGAGTTAAAATTTGTTTACTGCTCGCTCTAGGGCAAGAAATGGCGGTAGCAATGCGTGTGATGGAGGGTGCGGGAGGGGATTTTGAGAATTGCAATTAAATGCCAGGTAGCGACGTGTCCTCCTAATATTACGTATTTAAGTACCGGTAATTATTAGATGTTTTAATTGCCTGTAGATTGGCCTGGCGAGTTAATGCTAGGCAATTACATATGTAGGTATAAAGCTAGATGTCGCATTCTGGACTTTATCACAAAAACTGTTTTTTAGAAAAAAACGGCTTATTTTCACATTTTTATGGAGAATTGTTGCTCCTCGAGAATGTAGCAGGAAATAATTACACAGATAGTAGGTTACTGAGTCTTTCCTTTGTATGCCTACAGATTCCATGCTGATAACTATACGAAGTCAGTACGAGTGTTCACCTATGCTGTAGGCCCCCACCCCATCCCGACAGCCGTTTTAAAACAGATGGCTTGTTCTACAGGAGGGAAATATTCAGTCATTACCACAAGAAGCAGTGTTAGAACTAAAATACAGGTAGGCACCTGTGCTTATATTTTACATTTCAAAGTTAAATATTAACTGTCAGATTTATTTGGTGGATTATATATATATATATATATATATATATATATATATATATATATATATATATATATATATATATATATATATATATATATATATATATATATATATATATATATATATATATATATATATATATATATATATATATATATATATATATATATATATATATATATATATATATATATATATATATATATATATATATATATATATACAGTGACCCCTCGTTTAACGAACACCTCGGTTAACGTAATTTCGATTAACGAACTGCCTTCCATAAGGATCTTCAATTCGGTTAACGAAAAAAAATTCGCTTAACGAACTTCTTACGAACCGACCTCAACATGTTTTCGCTTGCACTGACAGGGCAACCAGCTTTAGTATCAGTCCGCCAATACATTAATCGGTTCTAGGGCTTAAATTCCTTACTATTTTTGTAAATATCAAGAAGTTTATACTATTCAATAATTTTAAAAGTTTAATATTCAATTTTTTAGTCATTTTAACAATTATTGAACAAAATTGAAGGTAAAGTGACTAGTTTAATGCGCGGCATCCAGCCTCTTAACACAGCAAACAGGCGTCAGTCTCTCTCTGTTTTCACTGGAGGTAACATCTTGCTTGAGACTCTCTTCAACTAAACGCTTTTTTTCTGTGTTTCCAAGCAAATTATTGGTCATTTTGAAATATATTTTATATATTGACAATATATAATGCAGTGCAGCGTTGATTTAAAGAAAATAATCTTGAATTAAACCAGAGAGCTAAAATTTTATGGGTGAAATGGCACCATGGGGTGACTTCTCTTCCACCCCAATGCCTTCTCTTCTTCCTTCTCCTCCACCCATATTCTAAATCCCATCATCATCATCATCATCCAGGAGCCTTCTACATACACACCTCAAAGTAAGTGAACTTTTCTACCATTTTTGTTGAATTTAGGAAATTTTCGGTGAGCTGGAACCAATTACCCAAAAACCCATTGAAACAATGGTTTCGGTTAACGAACGTTTCGGTTAACGAACGACCTTCTGGAACGGATTGAGTTCGTTAACCGAGGGGCCACTGTATATATATATATATAATTTTTTTTTTTTTTTTTTTTTTTACCAGGAATAAGCTGACAAAGCTGCCAGATGGCTATTTCCAAGAGGGCCCTTATGTTAGGCATGGTCTCTAATCAGTAATAGTATATCTACATGTTGGCCTGGCAAGTTAATGCTAGGCATTTACATACCTAGGTATAAAACTAGACGTCGCATTCTGGACTTCATCACAAAAACTGTTTTTTTAGAAAAAAGTATTTTTTTAATAAATTCATAAGCATTATGTTGCAGTTGGACTATGAGAGGCTGGCAGACCATTTCAGTAATTCAAATATTCTGGGGTTAATAATGTAGAAACTCAATCTCATCTCTAGCTGTAGAGCTGAAGATTTGTTGCTAGTTAACACACTACCTCAGTTAGAGGACACAGACCATGTCAGAAAATCAGGATCCCACTTCTACTGGGTAATTAAACCCAAAATGTAATGGAAAGATTACACATGACTTGAGTCAACTCTGACTTAGTGAATATTATTTTCATGGGACTTGTATTGAATGTAATATCACTTATGATGATGAATCCTGTGCTCTATAACAGGAATATTAACAAGATCATACAGGCATCCCTAGAGTTATAGAAGCTTTTCATTCCTGAAAGGTTGTCTGTAGCTCAAGGGATACCTGTATAAACAAGTGGATCTGTAACACAACTTTTTGTTGGTAATGCTGATTGTGTGAAAAATTTTATGATTACTCTTTTGATACAGTATTTGATATTTATATATTTATACAATATACAAGGTATGTACATAATAATTTAAGTCCTTTTTCTTCCTATGTTATCCAGTGTTATAATTACATAAATTATTAAATTTATTAACTGGTGGTCTCTTAAAACTAAGTTTCTTTCATGAAAAATAATGCTAAATATTAACAAAATAATTTTTTATCATTAACATTAATCTGGGTGGATTTTTTATGATTTTCCATTTATTGTAATCTTTCTAAGATTTTTTATTGCTCTACAGTATTGTTACCATTATTATTATTAGTAGTAGTACCTGTAGTAATAGCAGTAGTAGTACCTGTAGCAGTATTAGTAATACCCTGAAGTAGTACAGTACAGTAGGAGGAAGTCTGTGCAGTCATTCAGGTGTGTCATGTCTCGTCTCTGAAACAGTACGTGTTGATAATCAGGCTTTTATTTGTTGAACACTAGAAATTGGACAGTGAATTTATAAAGTCATCGAGGTCGTTCTACTCAAGTGAATGTGTCAATTGGTGAAGCACTTTTGTTATTATTTGCATTTGAAGATCAAATTATTTTCCTTGTGGAGTGCTGTTGGCTGACACTGTGTGGATACAACCATAAACTAAAATAATGCCACATTATATTCAAAAAATTTAAATTTGGCATATCCTTGACTGTGATCCACCATCCACAGGACAACCAGAGGATGCAGTGTGACTGTACCTAAGATAGCCTATAGTAACTGATGAGGAACTTGAAAATAGATAAATACATGAATGAATAATCAGTGCACCCTTCAAGGAAACAGCAGGCATAGGAGTGCCTGGGTCAATATTGGTGGCACAATACATATTAAGAAAGAACTTTTCTTTCTCTCTTCTTTTTTAAGAACTGTGATTGTGTACAAGATCCACCATTCATATGAAGATTTAGTGTAGTGAGGAGTACTTTATAGGCAGCACATAGTGGAAACCAGCAATCTGCAAAGGGAAACTGAAAAAAAAAATATAATAAAGTGGAAAGCAAGCAGGCAGTGTACTTCTCCAGACAACAACACTGGGCAAATGAGGGCAACGAGGATGCTAAGAACAACAGGACAGAAAAGTGACTTTTATATTATATAATATTATAATGCTCTGGGGCACAAAGGCTCCACGGATTTTAGTACGTGATGCTACATCTTGTAAGAGGTGTGACTGCAAGTCGCCCTAGTAGTTTTGCCATTCTTCCTCAGAATAAAGATAAAGTTTATGGTGGTCAGTATCACCTTGGCACTGGGCATTGTACACTTTAAAAGTTGTATATAACTTTTGCAAGGTCTGTGTAGATGGGGTTAAAAAGGCAGGCTAGTGAATAGCATAAAGAATGAAATCTGTTGCTGGTATTGCTCTGATTGCAAGACCAAAATCAACAAGGCTATTGCAGATCATAAGGGAAAAAGATACTTTGAGTCAAAAATAGAAGAAGCTGGATCCTTGACAATTGCCAGACTAGAGCAAGGTGGAAAAGAGATCCTCACTAAAACAGAAGAAGTCACTAATAGGATAGAGGAACTAGTTAAGAGGAGCTATGCTTAGGTTGCAGCAGGGCCACAGAAGGTGACTGAGAGAAATGTAGGATCAGAGCAGGAGAGAGGGGATATGCTAGGAGCAACTTGAGTACAAGAACAATATAATCATGTTTGGAGTCCCTGATAATCAGTCGGAGGAAGCTGTTAAAGATCTGACTCACTATAGAGGGGAACAAACACCCAGGTCACTGGACATCATCATAATTAATGAGGAGGGTATGGTGGCCAAGTTGGAACATCTAGCACCCCTTTGGCACCAGCCACCATGTGATGTTATCCTTCAGACTTAACTGTTACATGATTCTTGATAAGAGCAGGCCAAGGATCAAATACTACAAGGCGATTACAATGGAATGAGGGAGGAGATAAGGGGTATTAGCTGGCCTGACTCACTGAGAAACAATAATGCAGATACAGTACTATGCTGAATATCATTGCCAGTAAAGTGAACTATTTGAATGATAAATATATACCCAAGACCAAACCCAGTGCCTCCACAAATACAAAGAGACCATTACACTTGAACCATGCAGTGGTTGACGAAGTTGAGAAAACATTTCGGAAATTCAAGAGGTAGATTACGGCAAACAATGAATAGGACAGAAGGATATATGCCAGGTCTCGGATCCAAGCAAAATCAGAGTGCAGAAGGACTGAAAAAGAGTTGCAGAAGCAGATTGCAAGCAAAGTCAAGTCAAACCCAAAGGCTTTCTACTGTTACACAGAATCTAAATTAAAAACATGTTTGGGCATATTAGATCTGAGGCTTGAAGATGGTAACTACTCAGACTCAGATCAGGATGGAGCGGAAGCATTAAATAAATTCTTTTCCTCAGTGTTCACAAGAGCTCTTTCAAAACCAGACTTGACCATCCCTGGTGCAGGTACAGATGCATTCTGGAGCCAGTACTTGCCAACAGTGCATAACAGAGATGTGACCGACCGCCCAATTGACTAATGAGTCAATCAGTGGTGAAGTGGATACAATAATAAAAAGTAGTATAGTAGTTGCAGTAGTAGTATTAGCAGGGAGCCGACACAGGTGGCCACAGTGGATATCGCCGGGACCCAACCACCCGATGATATCCGAAATGATAGCAGTGAGTCTACTCAACCCGAAAATGTAGTACTAATAAATGCTGCTCCCTTAGTAGCAGATGTCCACGAGGAGAATGAGAGACAGCCACCTCAGTGGAATGGCATGTCGATGAAAAATGCAGACATATGGGTCAAAGAAACCTACTCAGAAATTGTCAAGTGGTCGCCCGCTAACTTATTTGGACCACCCAAGTGTGCGGCCACCAAAGAAATGATTCGGGAGATGACTCGCCTCATGACTGATTACACTCAGGACCGCTTCCTCGCCTCTTTAGCTCTTCAAATACTGGCAATAATACCACATCTATTTTGTCAGAGGACACACACAAAGACTAAGCACAAAGAAAATGTGGCAGCAATGAAGAGGAAATTGGCAATGTGGCAGACTGGGGCCCTTGATGATCTCCTATGTGAAGCAAGAACACTGCAGGAGAGACTAAAAATTACGGGTGACGGAAAGCAAAACACCGATGACGTGGCAAGAAAATTTGGAAACAAAATGCGTGTGGGAAAAGTGTCTCTGGCGGTAAGATCTCTCACAGAGGAATCCTCCGGTGGGGTGATGCCAATAAACAGAGAGACATTAAAACTACTGAAAGAGAAACATCCCCCTGCAAGCGACGAAGAAGGCATCAGGTTCGAGGGTGTCTATATCCCACCAAACGCTGTCCTGTTCGAGAAAATAACAGGAGGGATGGTGTGGAAAAAGGCACTGAAGACTCGAGGAGGAGCCGGCCCTTCAGGTCTGGATGCAAACGGTTGGAGAGTCATCTTCAGCACAAACAAGTTTGGCCCTGTAGCAATCGATCTCTGCACTGCCATTGCCGCCCTTGCAAGAAAGCTTACATCCTCTTGCTGCCATCACCTCCAGGCCCTGACGTCCTGCCGCCTTATTCCTCTGGAAAAGAAACCAGGATGTAGGCCGATTGGGGTGGGGGAAGTGCTGAGGCGGATCATCGGAAAATGCATAACGGAGGTGGTAAAGGATGATGTCAGGGCAGCAGCAGGGAACCTACAAGTGTGTGCTGGCCACCAGGCTGGTGGGGAGGCCGCCATTCACGCCAAGAGATTGATATTTGAGCAGCGTGATTGTGAGGCCGTTCTCCTGGTGGATGCTTCAAACGCATTCAACATACTTAACCGCAAGGCTGCATTGCACAACATCAAGATCAAGTGTCCAAGCTTTGCAATGTATTTTGAAAATTCGTATAGGAATCCATCAGACCTCTATATGGTAAACAACAAGGCTCTAAGAGGTGATACCATCTTACAGTCAACCGAGGGAACAACACAGGGGGACCCTGTTGCAATGGCAATGTATGCAATTGGCCTATCAGTGCTCCAACAAGAAATAAAATTTGAAACAACTGGGGTCAAACAAGTGGCATATGCTGATGATCTTACAGGAGCAGGAAAAGTGGAGGGCATCAAAAAGTGGTGGGACTTGGTAACATCGCGAGGTCCACAAATAGGGTACCACCCAAACGCCAGCAAGTCCTTCCTCATCGTGAAGCCAGAACATTATGAACGGGCAATGGAGGTTTTTGGCGGAAGTGAGGTCAAAATAACTAAGGACGGCCAAAGACATCTAGGCGCAGTAATTGGCACTACGGACTTCAAGACCGAGTACGTAGCAGGAAAGGTGAATGAGTGGGTTAGTGAAATCCAAGCTCTGTCTGAGATTGCTAACACAGAGCCACATGCGGCCTTTGCTGCATTCACCCATGGAGTCAAGCATCGTTGGAACTACCTGATACGTACTATCCCTGATATCGGACCCCTCCTCCACCCTCTGGAAGAAGTTATCAGTGTCAATTTCATTCCTGAATTAGTGAAACACCCTGACTTAACCCCAGCAGAAAGAGCACTTCTTGCACTTCCATCAAGACTGGGAGGGATGGGACGAACCAATCCAGAGGAGATTGCTGCCACTGAACATCAAAATTCACTTAAGCTCACGGCAGCCCTCACGGACCACATAATAGCCCAGAATGCAACAGGGGAAGTGGATACCAGTGAAGTAAATAAGATTCGTAGGTCCATTACGACAGATCGACAGCACTGCCAAAATGATAAGTTGCAGCAACTGTTGCTGCAGGTACCAGAAAATTTGAAAAAAAGTAGCTATAGCGCAGGAGGTGGGCGCCTCGAACTGGTTAACTACGTTACCGATAAGGGCAAATGGTTTCAGTCTTAATAAACAAGAATTTACAGATGCCATTGCTCTAAGGTACGGTCGGCCAGTAGAAGGTTTGCCCTCCCAATGCGTGTGTGGCTCTTTCTATGATGGCGATCACGCCATGGTGTGCAAGAAAGGGGGCTTCATATGCATGAGGCATGACGAGGTAAGGGACCTCACAGCAAATATGTTGAAGGAAATCTGCCGGGATGTCATGGTAGAAGCAACCCTCCTTCCATTGGATGGTGAGATCTTCCAACACAGGACTTCAAACACATCTAACAAAGCCCGTGTGGACGTCAGTGCTTGAGGATTCTGGACGCGGGGACAGCGAGCTTTCTTCGACATCAGGATTTTTTATCCCATGGCTGCATGTCACCATAACCTAGCTCTCGATGCTGCACATAGGAGGAACGAGAACGACGAGAAGGGCATATGGGGAGAGAATTCAAAACGTTGATCAAGGCAGCTTCACTCCTCGAGTGTTCACAACCTCTGGTGGGATGGGACCAAGTGCAAGATGTTTCTACGCCAGACTCGCGGAGGTGATCTCCGAACAGAAGCAGCAGCCCAGAAGTTATGTTACAGCCTGGATGAGATGTCGACTGTCTTTCTCTCTCCTTCGGTCGGCTTTGCTCTGCCTCAGGGGAACGAGAGCTTCTGCCCCAACTCCGACAACTGCTGCAGATATTGACTATGAGGCTACTGTCACTGAATGCCGCATAGATCTGCGGCTCAACTAATTTAACACAGATAGGATAGCTACTTATGTATTAGGATATTTAATATTAAGGTAATTAAATGGTGGCGAAGGTGTGGCTATTGGGGGAGGCTGGAGGCCACGAAAAAAAAAAAAAAAAAAGTAGTAGTAGTAGTAGTAGTAGTAGTAGTATTAGCAGCAGCAGCAGCAGCAGCAGTAGTAGTATGAGAAAAGATGAGCATATGTACAGTCCCCCAAAAAAGTATTTTTCACCATGGGGTCGATGTGATTCAAGGTTTTCCGAGCAATGTTACTCAGCCTGTTTCTGAACAGTTGGTAGTTCTACATCCGTGACCTCCCCCAATCCTACTCCTATCTCCAGCTGTTGCCGATAGTGTGAGCAGGCGTACCAACTCATGATGATGCACTGGGGATCATATCAAAACATTTTGTCTAGTGTTTCATATTGTAGTGAGGGAAACTCTGACGATTCTGTTTTTGGAGGACTGTACATAAGTGTGAAGGAGAGAGATTAAAGAAAAACTATTGAAGTTCAAGAGTGAATCTTAGAAAATACAGCTATGTGTGAATACAAGATGATCAACAGGAGGGATTGATGAAATGAATGGTTAGAATTATTAAATAAGTAGAAAATGAGATGTGAGTTCCAGACGCAAGTAAGAAGTGAAAAAAAAAGAAGGTAGGGGTATTGGGATATTAGAAGGAAAGTAAAGAGAATGCTGCTAGATTGGGAAAATAAATGAAAATGATGTGCTTGAGAGTAATTGGTTCAATGAATTAGATAAAGAGAATAAGAAATAGAGAAATTAGGAAATGTTGAAGTTAATGCAGTGTTTGACAGAAAGCTGCCCAGAGTGTGCTAAGATAGTATTGACTTATATTAAGAGAATGCAGAGTAAAAGATTCATAAGAAGAATATATAATTTTGAGGGAGATGGTAGCAGGGAGAGGGAATGACCAAGAGGGAGATGTATGGATGAATGAAAACACAGAATATAGGGTGATGGATATCCAGGAAGTGCAATGAAGAATGGGGATGCTGCAACAGTAAGAATGTATGAATGACGGTAAATGAAGAGAATCTATAGTATTGGTTTCAACCGTTTCAACCACCCTGCAATATAATGGGACAAGGCTTGTATGGGTGGAAAAAAAAGCAATATTATTACTGGGACTATTATTATTACGTAATATCATTTCAGTGGTGTAGTGGTTAGTGCTTTAGTATAGTGCTCTATTGGCCCATCATCAGTCTCAGGGCACACCAAGGTGGTTCCCATGGTAGTCCTAGGAAATACTGTACTTAACCCTTGTGACTCAACATCAAACCGACCCGGGGCCCCTTCCCAATGAGGGAATATTATTATTATTATTATCATCATCATCGTCATCATCATCAATAGTGATACAGTACTTGTAAATATTAGTCACAGTTACACTTTACAGGTACAGTATTATGAAAGGCATTTTATCACCTCTAGCGTTAATTGTTATTACTACTGTACATTTCACTGAGTACAATCAGTGAAGGCTGTGGTGCATATTGTTAATGAATGCTTTCAATACTACATCATTAATTTAATCTCTCCAAATCTGTACTGTTAACTCAAAGTTTACATTCAATTCTGTCTGTTACTCACAATGTTGCCCTGCCTTTTTTGTTACTCTGCTTTTATTATTATAATCACATGATATTTATATTTCTTATAACAAATGTTAATATCTTAATTGAGTTTTACAGTTATAATTATTTTAATTGCCAGTGTTTAATGAGATGTCATTTCAGGAATCGTACACAAGCTTACTCTCTCCTGCTCAACCCCTGAGTGGAATTCACACTGACCAATACACAACTGCGTACACAAGTGCTGTGGTAATTTGAGATAGAATCCTGTACTGATGTCCACCCCAAACACCTGATAAATACTTGGTCTTGTTTCCACTCTATCCAGGTGTTGCTCTGTGTCTGGCAACTGAAGGAGTTTTTCTGGGTTAAAATAATATACAGCAAAGGTACTTACATTTCAATAATAACTTTCTTAATGCCAATTTGTCATAAGAACTGGTGAAATATATTTTGGAATCACTTTATTCTCTGGCAATTTATAAAACCTTGGCGTTTCTTTCCAATCTAATACTGCAAAAGTTCCTTCAGTTACCAGGTACACACATTTCTGCTGAATTCTCAGCTATGTGGTTTTGAACTCACAGTTTCTACCTACTCTCTGCATATCTTTGTATGCTTAATCAGACAGAATGGCAATGCTGTAAACTAAAGATTTCAAAAAGCGATATTTCATTGTAAACAATATCTGCAGAGAGCTGGTTTGTTGATGTGGTGTGGTGACTTTTTTTCTATTAATAAAGTGTATATTTTTCTTCTTTAGAGCAAACATTGGTGGAGGACCCTCTTTCATCCATCAAAATTGTAATGTTCTTCAAACACCCATGAGTTGACAGATTCTCAAAGTAACTCAAAGTAACTGCTCATCTTCTTTGCTAGCAGCGCTGTCAGACCTCGGTAGTGCAACCTCTTTGAAATGTTTCACTTTTTAGTCTTAGTGTTGTTGATTTTAAGATTCCCTATTTTTATTGATATTTATGTAGAATTTTGTATTAATGTGAAATAATACATTTACTTATGAGGTGGAATAAAGCAAAGTATGATGATTGCATGCACATGGCTCATTTTCATAGTTTACTACATCTTCTGTGCCATAATTATTATCTTTTATTTTTAAGTTGTCAAGTCACTGAAATCTGTGCAATTTCTTTGATATCTGCCAACTCACTTTTCTTGTTATTTTCATTTTTAAAGTATTTTATCCTTTTCAGTGAAAGTCAGCTTCTTTTTGCACTTTTTTTTATCTTAATGATGTACAGTACAGTAGATGTTTGTATTTGTAAGCTTTATTGCCTTGTGGACATTAATTTGTGTTGTTTTTATATTTTATATGTAGGAGTAATTTGTTTATATGTATTTTACTTGTGCTTTTATGTTTCAGTTTCCCTAGTTTCGCTTTTCATCTCAGTTCTTCCGTTTGGCTTATTTCTTGTAACAAATAACTTCACTGCCTAACTTATTTCACATTTAAAATTATTGGATTGTTTGGTTGTCCATATTAAGTGGCCAGTTAGTGTAAGGTTGTCAGATGAGTTGTAGTTTATCAGCTTCTTTTGTATTCCTATATCTTATAGTATAACTATATTTTACAATATTGAATCATTTTATAACAGGTGTAAAAGAAGATGAAAAGTTTTGCTTTGTCAGTTATTATAATTTTACACCCTCTTTTCCTCAATTCTTCATATCCAATTTGCAGATGCTTCTCATTCATACCACTTCTGAGCTCACAATCTTTGCTCTGCCCACATTTATATTTTTTAGATGCACTTTTTTTTCAAATTTTTAAGACCCTTTTTCTTGGGCTCTTATATCTCTCATTTCTCACCTAATTCACTTTTTCTTAGGGAGAGGAACTGAGGGACTTTGATGCCTGGCATGATTCTGTTGCTGAATTTCAACTTTTGAAGCAGCTAGGCTTCTGGGGTTATCTGTCCATGAATTGCACATTAAGCCCAACACACTTTTTATAGGACTATTTGCAAGTGCTAGCAAGACCTCAGGCCCTCCCTCTAGCAGAGTCAATGGTAACGTTCGACCAAGAGCGAGTGGTAAGATATATTCTGGGCTTCAGCTGTGCACTTCCTCAGAGCCGATAGAAGTCCTGTATTTAGTTGGTGTTCAAAGACTGTGGGAAAAATTAGGAGACATTCCAATAATGTATAGCAGAGTTTAAATCTGGTAAGAAATGCCTACTCACACAAAAATTTAAGTTAAAATGGAAGATTGTCAAAGTTTCCCAATATCGTTAGGTAAATTACCTGTCCTTGATTTTTCCTTGCCAAACATTTTCAAACACTCCATCAGTAGTTTCAAGTCACTGGTGATTTTTCTTTAAATAAGTAGCTTTTCATGCTTTTATAAATCAGTGAACTAGCAACCTATCACCTGAGACTTGTAAAGGCTGGTCATACCCCAAATACTGAAGTGATTTGCAATAATGAGTGATTGGAAAAGTGACAGAACTCAAAGCACTAGCCTTTAGCTTATAATTTCATGAAAGATTGGTCTTGTTGAGAGTGTAAATTCTTCCTCTCTACTTGTGCAGGTATTAAGCGTCAGAATTTGGGCTTTAAGTACAAAGTAGAACATGATGAACTTGAAGAGCTCTCTGGTAATGTCTTATTGATACAAATATACTCCAGTACTGTATACAGAGGATTAAGAATCTGGTATTCAACTTATATGGTAAATCACCTTAAACTCCATTACATGATTAATTAATTTAATTTACCAAAGATCATAATTTGAGTTACAAGATGCTTTCATTATATATATACGGTACAGTATATATCTATATATATATATACATACAGTATATATATACAGTATATATATACAGTATATATATATATATATATATATATATATATATATATATATATATATATATATATATATATATATATATATATATATATATATATATAGTAGTACCCCGCTTAACGCGGTCAATTGAACCCACACCGCGTTAAGTGAAAACCGCGTTAAGTGAACAACAGAACATATGGGATTAATTCCAATAGAGACTGGCCCGACCCCCAAACTCCACTTTTTGACGACACACAACTATGTTGTAGTAAAAATTTTATCTTAACTTTATGATGGTATGCACACACAATTAATAATTAAGAGAAATATCAATAATATTAGGTTTTTTAACACTTGCATTAGTAGAAAAGATGGCTGGGCACACGGGGATGGGGGGTTGGTTCCGAGGCAGAGGGCAGATTATTGGCCCTCACCTGTATCACTTGTATCAATTGTATCACTATCCACCACAGAGGCTTGCAGGGCCTCTTTGTCAAACCCCTCAAAGGCCATATAAGTCCATATCCTCACTATAATTATCACTATCACTGACTTGGGCCGGCTGTGGTGGGTGGCGGGTGAAGAACTCGGTAATGTTTTGATGACTGGGCGACCTTGTGCGCATCGTGCCCGCGCCGCTTCCCGCGTATATGATGAAAAATTCCGCGTTAAGTGAAAGTTCAGCTCTGGCGAGGCACCGCGTATATGATAAAACGCGTTAAGTGAAACCGCGTTAGGCGGGGTAATACTGTATATATATATATATATATATATATATATATATATATATATATATATATATATATATATATATATATATATATATATATATATATATAACAATGTATGTATGTAATGTATGTATGTAAGTATGTATGTATGTATGTATGTATGTATGTATGTATGTATGTATGTATGTATGTATGTATGTATGTGTAATATGTGTATGTATGTATGTATGTATGTATGTGTATGTGTATGTATGTATGTATGTATGTATGTATGTATGTATGTATGTATGTATGTATGTATGTATGTATGTATGTATGTATGTATGTATATGTATGTATGTATGTATGTATGTATGTATGTATGTATGTATGTATGTATTTATGTATGTATGTATGTATGTATGTGTATGTGTATGTATGTATGTATGGATGTATGTATGTATGCATGTATGTATGTGTATGTATGAATGTATGTATGTATGTATGTATGTATGTATGGATGGATGCATGTATGTATGTATGTATGTGTATGTATGTATGTATGTATGTATGTATGTATGTGTATGTATGTATGTATGTGTATGTATGTATGTATGTATGTATGTATGTATGTATGTATGTATGTGTATGTATGTATGTATGTGTATGTATGTATGTATGTATGTATGTATGTATGTATGTATGTATGTATGTGTATGTATGTATGTATGTATGTATGTATGTATGTATGTATGTATGTATGCATGCATGCATGCATGCATGCATGCATGCATGCATGTATGTATGTATGTATGTATGTATGTATGTATGTATGTATATATATATACATTTATTTTTTTCCCGGTACCTGGAAAATTCAGGGGATGGGGGATTTTCTCCAGGTTCGAAAGATGACATAATGCGCAATTTCTGGAACTTCGGAGAAAATTTTCCAAGTACCCGAAAAATTCCTGGGTTGGGGGATTTTTTTCCGGCTTTGAGAGAGTCATCTCGTTACTCAGAAATCTCTCATTCCCAGAAGTGCTCTGCACTTATACAGTAGCTGCACACCTCATGATTTGTCAGGCTTCAAGGCAATATATGCCTAGTACAAGCCTGTACATGCCCAGTACTTGTACTTGCCAACAAACGTAATAGAAAACAGACTGACTGCGCAAGTGGCTAGTAAGCTGACTAGGGGCAAAGAGGATAAGTAAGGAAGTAATGGTAGCCATGGCCTCTGTTCTCAGTCTTTTGAAAGTGATGATTACTGTGAGATATGTCCTCAGGTGACCTTAATTTAGGGTTCCTAGACCAAACCTGTACACTTTGATGTTATCATACATATATAATTTTCCACTTGCTTGGTTTTAAAATATTTTCAGGTTAAAACTTTCATTTTCATTCTGTAAAAATACAGTACATTAAAACAGACATTAAGATATTAGATATAAATCTTTACTGTATTTTGTTTGGTAACCTGACCATTTCCATATGACCTGGCTATTTATATGTGTGCCCTCATCACTAAGGATAATACTGTCCACAGCATTGTTATTGTTCTGGTTTAGCAGGTTTATATACTGTTCTCAATTATTATTGTTACTATTATTGTTGTTAATAGTTATTACAGGTTGACCCTCTCTTATCGGGCATTCAATCGATTGGCAATTCCCAATTAACAGCATTATTATAGAAAAAGCATCATCTGGCAAGCCTCCCCAATTAACAGCAAGTTCAACCACCATGTAGTTGTCCAGTTGGTCCTAAACCCAATTCTACCACATTCAAACAATAATCACTCCATAAAACAAAATAGAAATAAAATAATAATGAAATTAAACATCATTTCAAATAAAAGACTCAAGTTCAGTGGTGGCTAAGCAAGTACCAGGTAATTTCTTTTGTCTTAGCTAGGTCTTCAAATCAAGGTGTTGTGCTAGACAGGCTGCAGTGCAGATCATGTATAGGTGACAGCCTGTTTAGAAGTTTCGTCTTTGTTGGTGCTAATGTTTAAGTTATGCCTCACAAAGGTACGTGGTCCTGAATGGTAGAAGGCCTTTCAGAGCTTTGGCAGCAACGATTGCCATTTCATTGAGAAGTGTTGCCGAGAAGGTACGACTGAGGGACTACTGTCAATGCATTTTCCTCAAAGTTTTCCAGCAGGTGGCTTAAGGATGAGAAAGACCTAGTCTTTCCTCACTCTATTTTGCCTTTCCACAACTTTAGTTTGTCCTTAAATGGGGACAGCTTGTCAGTGAGTTCAATGAAAGTGTGACCTCAGACTTGCATGGAAGCATTCAGGCAGTTAATTTTACTGAATAAATCTGCAAGGAAGGTCACTTGAAGCAACCATTTAGGTCTGGAGAACCTACCAGCCAAACCATGTTATGTGAGTGAATCCAAGATTTAAATATCTCTATTTCTAAGTACAGTACCAGTTTGAGTTTTTATGGGTCATATACGGTGAACGATAGCTAATTGTTGCATGCTGGCATTAGGCTAGGCTTACCAGCAAGCTGCTTTATCTTAGGCTTACCTACCATACCCCAAGGTTCTTTCTTTGTTGCTATATGAAGAGCAGAACCTCAGTCACTGTATGCTACTGTATATGCCACTTTATATCTACAAAACCATTTACAAAAGAAGATTTACAGATAATTTTCTTTTCATTTGCATTTATTTACTCCACTGGTGGCATTGTTACCAAGTTAGACTCATCACTGTAGCCACATCGCCCCAAGCCCTCCCCTTACCAGGCTGAACTGTGAGCTACATTATTTTTTATTTTTTTATTATTATTATATTCTCCACTTATCAGCTTACTAGCCATTTGAGCGGTCTATCCAGTGTTAGTACAGGAAGAAACTGGGGACCAGGAAACCTGTGGTGTTTGGTAGGGTCACTGGATAACACCCTTCTCACGTGTGTCCGGGCCGAGGCTTGAACCCTTGACCTATTGGTGTGAGTTATACTCGGTTACATGCGCACAATATCTTACAGACAAAATGTGCAAAAAATATATATATATACTGTACTATATAAAAATAATTATTATATAGTCAAAAACATAAAGGGAACAAATATTTCTTTGTGTGCAAAAATAAGCATGCTGAGGGAAGGGGGGTCAGCAGAGTATGGGATCTCAGCTGTTCGCTGTCTCCCGAGTCTCGTGTGTAGTGAAACGATTGACAAATACCTCGTCTTCCAGAGCAAAATGGCAATGCAGTATTTTTATTTTTATTTTTTTATTAATTGGTATTATTTTAATTTATTCCTCACATTTACTGGTAGGGTATATATTATCTTATTACAGTACTGTACTCACAGTTAAATATCTTATTCTTAATTTTTTAATAAAATATACCATAATGTGAATCATCACAGTAAAGGATGTACCAGTAATAAAATTATTTTAATTTTAGTGCCTTTATTGAAGTTAACTGCATTTATATAATAATAATATTCATAGAAATTAACATTAATTGGGAGCAATACAAAGGCATATCCCACCATTATTATACTGCACA